AATATTTAATATATTTCTATAATTTCAATACAACAATATTTTTTAATTATAATTTGATAATATATCAAAATATTATATATTATTCCTTAAAATATCAAACAAAAAATTATGCATTCCGTTAATAATATACAAGTTTCGTTTAGTTAGGATAATGGATTATCTTATAAGCAATTAAAGTTATCAGAAAAGTATTCTAATGAAAAAAGACATCATAAATATGCAAAAAATTTTTTTATAAATCGATTGATAAGAGAAATTTCAATTTCATTTTTTTAAATAGAATTATATAATTTTGAATGAATTTAATCGATTTATTTAAGCATAAATATTAATCTGCTTATGTAAAAATCATTGATTTAAAACATATTTCTTAATCAAAATTTGTAAGAATTGTTTGTAATATTTTACATCGTTAATACTTTTACTTTTTTTATAATAAATATTCAGATAAATCGATTAATGCATTCAAAATTATATAATTTCATTAAAAAAATAAAATTAACCTTAAAATCTTCTTCATTATTCAATCTGCAAAAAAAAATTATTAACACAATATTTTCCTTGAGATTAAACAATTTTTATATTAAAATATTTTTTTATTAATATTATATTTTTCGTGATTATTATATTTAACGTATCTTAAATGTGTCTTAAACGAAGCATATCCTATGCGTATACATATTAATATGATAATATAAAAATTAATATAAAAAATTAATACTAATATTATTCCTTATTCCTTTTATTCCTTTTATTCAATGTTTTAAGGTCATATTCATGTGAAAATCATTGAAATGAATTTAATTCGCGTAAAGTACAAATAGAAACCGCGTAAAGTAACTTTATGAGCGGAAGCAAGACACGCAAAAGAATCGAAAGTAGCGGAAGCATTATATCCGAGGGCTAGCTCGACGCGCTGCGATGGCAAATATGGGCGCGCATTTTAAAACGCATTTTACTCTCGCTAAGCAGCGATTGCGTATTAGACGAGTAAGAAAAAGCGAAGAAACATCATCATCATCATCATCATCATCATCATCATCATCATCATCATCATCATCATCATCTGGTTCGGTCGTTCGAATGATCCGTGGCCTCCTCCTACCTCGATACGGCTGCATGCCATAAGAATATTATTTCGTTTCTGTTCGTGTATGTATCTCTCATACATTACCTTAAGGCCTCGCGAAATCATAAATCGTAGTAGATGACACACGGTCTGCGGTCGGTACGAGAAGCTTTCGCCATTTCAATGACAAATGTAATATATATATATATATATATATATATATATATGTATATATCGTATTTATATATACTGTATATGGGACATATATGTATATTTATACATATATATATATATATACACATATATAAAATAACTTATAGCATACGTGGATGCATGTGTGTAATGTTAATATGTATACGAATATAAATATATATAATATAATATATAATATATAATATACACTATAGAGGAAAAAAAGCCCTCGAGAGAGATACGTGGAAAAGTATCCTTTGTAGGTACCTGAAACACCGTCACAATAGCCCAGAGTAACGAGTCAAAGTTTTTCCTATCACACTCGACGTCAGAGCTGCCTTTCATCGTTTCACAGAATTTGCAACCAAACAGGTTCATCCCGAGAATACTACAACACAACGAAACGTGCAATGTACTTCCTTATCCGTAAATATATAGATAGATAGATAGATAGATATGTAGTACGGTAGAGAGAAAAGGGAAGAGAGAAAAAAGAAAAGTAGTAAGAACCAAGGATATAGATAGGAGAGGAGGTGGAACGAAGGTGGATAGAGGATGAGTAAATGGAAAGAAAAAAACTTAAATGAGAGAGAAAAAAAAAGAGAGAAGCTTCTCTCGATTAAATAAGATAAATCGAGTCACTTAACGAGTAATTGTTTAAAAAGCCTGATGACGGTGCGCACGTTCTACTTTATAACGCATTAACTAATGCATACTAACATAAACCTTCGTTTAAATTATTATGGTAAATATTTTTTTTTTGCAAAAAAGAAAACATATAAAAATTTGATGAAAAAATAAATTTGCTGCAAATTTTTATTTTTTTATTACAATTATAATTGTGTACGATTACAATTATCTAATTGCATATAATTTTATTGATACAATTTAAAAATTTCATCATTTTATTTTTATTAATTAAAATCTAAGTTATAAGTTGGTATAGAAAATAACAATTATTTTACGGTTTTATTATTAGTTTTATTGGAAAATATTTAGATAATAATATACACTATCAGCCAAAAGTAAAAAATTTAATTTATAAAAAAATCAGTAAAAATATGTATTTAATTTAATTTAGGATATTTTAATTAAATTTAGATATAATATTTTTTTTATTCTTAACTTTTTATTTTTACGTAAAATTTAACACAAGTTTAGATAATATTAAATAATAATAAAGTTATTAAATTTAATTATTATATTAGATGTAAAAAAAAATTTTATACTTTTAAATTTACACTTTATTTTTTCTATTATAAATTTAAATTTTATGTATTTAATGATTATAAATATTTAAAAGTTTATTTCTTATAAATAAAAATACATTTTCTTAATAAAATTTTATAAAAAAATTAATTATTATTGCTTAAAATGTTGAAAAAAATGATTACATAAATAATCTTATATAATCACTTTATAATCATTTTATATATACGTATATATAAGATGTCAGATTCAATATTGTAACATTTTTTAGAATTATTTCAGTATTTAAACAATTATTAAATTAAATAATATTTTATTGAATAGAAAGATTCATAAAAATAATTTTTCATCTAATTTTTATTTTTATGATATTAAAAAAGATTTGCATACATTTATTATATAAAGATAAATGAAATGAATAAAAAAATCAAAAGACAAATATTATTACGTTATAAAATAATATTATTTTTTTATTATTTAAATATATGCAAATTATTAGAATATTGTGGAACTATTGATTTTATGAAATCATCCAGAATATATATTTAGCAATTAAATATTGTATTAAACAATAATAATGTCGAATTTGAATATCTCTCTTATATAAATTCAAATTTCAACATAAAAATAAAAGTTTAAAAGTTACTTTAATGCAATTAATACGAAATCACCTTAATAATATTAATACAATTTTAGAAAAGATTATATAAAGAACAAGCAATCAATGTTACTAATGTGAAAAATTTATATTTGCAAAATAAATATTATAATGAAAACGTTACCAATTTCAATCAAGAATTTTAATTGCAATATTACAATAAGAATTAACAATATTAAGAATTAACAATGAATTAAATATTTTCTATATTTATATTTTAATTTTTTTTAATAATGTTCTAAATAATGAATTTGTTAAATCAAATTTTTATCATTAAATTATAATGAGTAAAGCAATATTATTAAAAAAACAAGCAATAATATTAAAATCCAAATTATTTTTATATCTCAAAATTTTTTGAAAAATGATTAATTTAACATTAAATTAAAATGTAATTGTGCATTAATTGAGATAAAAAATTATTTAAAAGTTATTTAAAAATGAAATTTTTTGTAGTCTCAATATTGATAAATAACTTTAATTTGAAAAAAATAGAAAATTCTAAAATTTCAATCAGAAATAAGAATTATCGAAAAAGATATTATTATATTGTCATTACATAATTATTATTATTTCAATTATTATTTTTTTTATTTCTTTATTTCTCTATTATTATTTATAATTTGTTATATTTTATTATAAATTATTTTTTCAATAAGAATACCTAATTAATAACTATAGTTACTTAAAATATTACATAAAATTTGTTATTATCCATGAATTTTATACATATAAGAATTTGATTTTATATAATAAAATAAAGCCACTTTCTAGAGATGATTTTTAAACTTATAAAATTATTGAAATAACGAATTATTTGAAATTATAATTTTTCCTTTTTATTTTGAATAAAATTTTAGATATATATTATAGATATATAAAATATAAAACTGAAAGCATAAAATTTGTATCTACACTTAATATTTTGACACTTTAAGAACATTCTTAAATGTCAAAACTCAATTTATTAATCCATAATATTTCAACCATAAATTGTTAAGACAAGTATGCCACAATGCACACATAATTGATCACAATTTGCCATAAAAAATAGCAATAATAATCATGCTTCTGGCCGATAGTGTATATTACAATGAAGTGAATTCACACCTATCGCATGGCTATCAGCTGATGCTTTTTGTACATTTTTTCGTCAGATAGTTCAAAAATCAAAAAGAGAGAAAATAATTAAATAAAAAAAAATATTCGTAAATAGTGCGATACTTGAAACAAAATCCGTAGAATAATCCTCAAAATATAGATCGCAAAATACTAGATCAAAATTGAATCATACTTAAAATTAAACTTATCTAATTCTTTATTGAATAACATTGTTTCTAACTATTAGAATTAGAATTAACCAGGTCAAAAAAGACCCAGTCATTGAACCGCGAGGGTTAAAAATTCACACCTGCATCGTACATAGTGATGGCCAAAAAAATGACACGTAGCCTATGGCAAATTGTGGTGAACGATCGATCGACCGTCGGATGACCTTGAAACGCGATAAATCACGATATAGCAAAAGGCCGTGAGCATAATGAAATAACCGAAAAAAATATAATATTATTCATTCGCAAGCTGTCTAATATCGATGACCACACCGAGGCGCACTTTTTAGGCATTTAAGATAGTACATAGCATAAAAAGGGAGAGATGGGGCAGAATAGAATAAGAAAAAGACGTACGAATACACGAATAATTAATAGATAATAGTAGATATATATATATATACATATAGCTCTCATACTCGTCGCTAAATAAAAGCACCATGCACACATGAAAATATATATATATATATTCATATACGTATATATATATATTCATTTAAATATTCATATGTATAACAGGTGTCCTCTAATATCAAAATTGTAATAAAAAAAAAAAAAAAAAGAAAGAAAAATATAGAGAGAAAAAAATAGAAGAAAGAAAAATATAATGTAATAATATACACGTTCGATGCCTCAAGCCATGAGAAAGGGCCAACAAGACCCCTCTGTAGACGTGCCAACAAACACCCATCATCATTACCATTACAACGTCAGAAAACGCTGCTCGCAAACGCAACAGTGTCAGTAGTAATAAATGTACGAGAACTGCTGCTGCGACTCGGTCATCTATTATATATATATATATATGTGAAATGCAATTTACGCGGCGATCCATATGCCGTGAGAAAAGATAAAAAAGCGCATAAAGAAGAAAAAAGACAAAGGAGTATTAAACGGAAGACATAGTCACCTAATACACTTCGTGTTCGAAGAACAGTGACATACAAGCCCCAGCTCCTGTGGAAGCTTGGAAGCGGACAAGAAGCTGTTCTCAAAATACAATAAATGTCAACGAGACTTAGACATAGATGAAACGCGACTCGCATAATTCATGTTCGCATATACAAACATATACGACTTTACCGACTGATACTTTATCGATCGAGTGACAATTTTCCGAATGTTGATTCATGATCTCGTTGACACTTAACGATCTTTTTTCCTTGATAAATAATCTCTTCACAATTCGTAATAAGTCCATCGATAATCCAGTGATTCTCAATTTGGCGGTCATGCAAACGGTTATGTTGATATGAGATGATCATCTGAACAGGAGTTAAACGCCCGACGTTAATCCGCGTCCGTGAACACGAAACGCACTTACGAATATATACATTTAATACTTTGGGACCACGATATGCGCGAACCGCGATCATTGAATCGCGCATCTCTAATTTTTATGGGCCGATCATACGTGGCCTGAGAACCGCGATATAATTTCCGAGCACTTGTTGGCTAAAAAGGGTAAAAAGGAACAACTTACCTGAATATAAAGATGAAAAGTACTAAAAGGGAAAAGAATACGGCAACGTTATCCATAGTGCGCAGCATCACGAACAATTGTCGTCGGAGGTTTGGTAGAAAACGCACCAATTTCAGGATTCTGAGTAGCCGAAAAGTCCTCAACACACTCAGCCCGGAACTGCCACCCCTCTCCTCGACGAATGCTTGACAAATCTCCACCACGCTAGATGTTCAACAGAAAATCGGATTTTTCCTCCTCTTTGGAATTCTTTCGAGCAGTGATTCCCAACTTGTCGGTCGTAAAGATTTTTTCTGAGAAATTGCCAATTAATTTAACAACCTAGAAATTTTTTAGTTTTGCAAAACTCGAATTTAAAATTCGTGTTATTTCGAAACTCTAAAAATCCAAGATCATTCTTTTATTATTTTTTTTCTTTATTATTTTTATTATTCTTTTTTAAACATTAAGAAATATGAATATTTCAAATTCAAATTCATAGTTAGGTAATAATATTTAGTTATTTCTTTTGTTTAATAAAAAATATTTATTAAAAAATAAATATTTAAATTTTTAAAATTGTATTATAATAGGATAATAAAATCATTTCAATTAAAATGATTCTAAAACCTAAACAGAAATTCAATTGAAATATTATTTATTATTAAACTATAGATATTTATGAAAAATGATTTCAAGATTATATAAATATCCCTTAATTTTAATAGAACAATATGATAATGTTGTTATATTATATAATAATATGATAATTTTGTTACACTAAAATTAAATTTTATTAACATTACATATTATTGGTATACGATGGAATAAAATATTCATAATATATTTTGGTATATATATATATATATATTGGTATAGATTATACAAATATGAAGATAATCTTTTTCTTTTCTCTAATAAAATTATAATTTCAAAATTATTATTTACCAACAATCATTATTCTTTAAAATTTGCATACTTTACATGAAAAGATGGAATTATATTATTTGAATTTTATAAATCGTAACTCAAAGTTGGGAAATACTGCTTTAAAGGAATTTTTTATGAAATATGAGATTCGTGTCAACGCGAATAGCTTTTATGCTGAACATTTCAAATCGTTTCTGATATTCACAAAAAAATAATAATAATAATATAATAAAAAATTTATAAAAAAAGACAAAAAAACAGTAAGAAATGATATTAATTAATTTTTATTTTATTGTTCGTATTTTATTTTTTTAAGCTAATATTATTTTGTTTAAATCAATTGTATTATTAATATAGTTTTATCAAAATATGAAAAAAATAAAAATCTTCAAACTGACTTTATCTCCAAAATTTTATTTACTTTAATTTTAATTATAGAAATATCATAATCGAAAATAATAATATAAAATTATTATAAAAATATGAAAATAATTCATTTTTTATAAAATTATTTCATTTTTCATTATTCATAATCATTAATAGATGTTATTAAAAAATAATAATTACTTTTTTTACATACCTGAGCACCACAACAACACCATCGAAAACGTTGAATCCATTACTTATGTATCCAAATGGACCTTCCGCGATTATCTTGAGCAACATTTCCACAGCAAAGACGGCCGAAAATACAATATTGCTTACCTCAACCACTATAGTCAATTGTTCTGGCTGTCGACCGATGAACAGAAAAAAAAATACCATCTATTCGATAAACATATTTAACTACGAAACATTAATTAACCCCTTGTCTTACAACATCGAATTACACTTGTTAGCTATACTATTATTAGTTATTAAATTTATTATTTGCGAAAATAAGAATGTAAATGTTTAATGTGAGTTATTGATTTTATTGTAAATTTTGAATCTTTATCAATTAGTATAAAGCTACATTATTTTATTTTGCAACACATTTTAAAGAAATACTTTATATTTATTATTTCAAATATTACTTTATCAGAAAATTATACAATCACAAATTTGAAATTACATAATTAAAATAAATTGTACTCAATATTTAATTATTCATTTATACACTCCAATATATAAGATATTAATATATTCAAGAACAATTCTTAGAAAATCATTTCTAGATATCAAAACAAAAATAAAAATATGCAAAAATATTATTTCATATAATATTATTTCATACATAATTTAATTTAGAGATATAGATGTCTTAAAACCTAATTGTTTTTAAATTAATTATATTAATTTACTATTGTTTATGATTCAATAACAAGCATCAATCGCTTTTGCATATTAATTTTTCATTCAGAATCAATTAGATTTCAAGATTACCGATATTAAAATCCTCTCAGTTTGTCACTGATTATTTATCTGATAGACAGATATAATACATGCGTATAGAGACGGAAATTTCGTGTAAATGTGTATACACATGCAAATGACAGAATTTCGACAGTTCGAAGCGAAACAGAGATTAGGAGGTAAACAAAGGTAGAGTATAGCTACCCTAGTTTTGAGTGTATATTGTCATGTGTCAATAACATTAACAGAATGACTTCCATGATGACGCGGCCTCAACAAACAACAAAAATCACAATATTCTCTTTATGTAAAATCAAAGATCAAAAGATTATTATTTATATATTATAACTTATTATATTATTATAACTTAAAATTCATATACTGATGAAAAAATTAAATTTAACATTAAAAAACATTAAACAAAAATTTTTATTTTTTATAATATATAATAATGAATTTACTATTATTTTAATTATTATTTTAAATATTCTTGTGTTTTTAATAAGGTTCATAACTTATACTTGGAAACTTATACTCTGTAAAATTCTCAAACTTAAAAATTTTTTTCTCATTTCTGTTATTTGGAATTTTCAAAATCTAGATAAATAATAATTGACATTATGTTTATATTTAGATTTATTATTAGTTTATTTAAACTTATTTTAATCGATTGATGAAATTAGTTATTAATTTGTAATTATTAATATTAATTCCATTAGAGTTCTATTAGATATATGTAGATATATTACCAGAGATAATTGATTGGAATTGAGTGTGAGAACAGTTTCAAACATTAGTTTCATATCAAAGAGAAATTTGAATTATTAATAATCCAATTAAGAATTGTATAATTTGTTTAATCCATTTGATACTTACTTCATTATATATTTTTTACACAATATTTATTTATATGAATTTTAGTACGGTATAATAATATTATATTTAAATATAAATTTTTATTATTAATAATAATTATTAATTAATAAAATTAATTATTTAATTATTTTATAAATATTAATATTATAATTATTAATTCTTAATTGCAAACATTGGATACAATACATATAAATATGTTTCATCTCTTTTTTATAATAAAATAACTTTTTATTTTTTCCATAAATATTTTATCAATTATTCTCACTATTTTTTAATAATTATAATTACTATTTTTTAATAAGTTTGTTTTACATCTTTTCTTTAAATAAATTCAATTATTTCTTACATGTTTTCTCTTTTTAAATTATGTTCCATTTAAAAAGTGCTGTAACAATAAAATATATGGTGATCAGGAAAGATCAAGTCAGCTGATTGTTAGTCAGCCTAAACACGATTTACAACTTCTCTATCTCGACAGTAATACCACTTCTTTTCCGATATTTCAGAGGAATACAGAATCGTAAATATATCTTATTTATTGATAAAATTTATTGCTAAACTTTTACCGATAAATTACTGATCACATTCCATAAATTGATTACTTTTATATTCCAAATAAAAAATAATAAAAATCAGGTCAATTCGAAATTAAAGATTTTATGATTTTTGTTTTTGCTTTTTAAAAAATTAATTTTTTTATTCTTGCTTTTTTTCTATTTTTTCTAATTATATTTTTCCTTTTTTATTATTGAATTTTGTTTAAAACAAAATTTTAATAAAAAAAAATAAGAAAAGAATATGTTTACATTATAAATTTAATGAAAGCTATGAAAAATAAGTTTAAAATAATCTCAATATTATCATTATCAGGTTATTATATTATTTAATACAATAACAGATATTAATTAGATTTTTAAACAATTATCTCTTGCTATTGTTACAAAATTCTAATTTATTTATTTTTATTAGAAATATTTTTATATATTAAGAAATGATAAATTATCTTTGGTCTGGCAACATATTTATTTTTGATTATTTTTAATTCCTTTTCTCTCGATTAACAAAAATTGTATTAGACTGATGGATTTCTGAGTTCGTGAATAACGACTTTTTCATTAAAGAGCAATAATGAAAGTGTTAGAATATAAACAAGAACCTTGCTTTCAAGATCAATAACGTGATTGAGTGTTTTCTAAGAATTTTTGCAGAGTTTGCTTGAATAAATGATTGATCGAGTGAATAAGAAATATATTTTGTGATAAAAAACGAGGAAATAGAGGATGTAAGGTCAAACATGAAAGAACAGAAGTGTATTTAAGTATTAGTTATATTGTTGTGTTTATAATAAATATTGTATAAAATATCTAATTGAAGTATTCAACAAATTAAAAATCTTACACGTTTCAACTTATTTCGAGAATCAAAAATATTATTTCTATATACATATTTATATAAGATGTCTTATCTAACTAAGAGAAAGTTTTGAAATAATTTAAAAAAAATATATTATTTAAAGGTGAAAATTTTTCAAAGATTTTAAAACTAATAATAGAATTATATATTAATCTTCTTTTCTAAAAAAAATATTAAGATATTTGATAAAAAATGATTAAAATATTAATCTCGCTGAATAGTAATTATATACTTTATAGATATAATTATTTTTGATATCTCATTTTGTTTCTCGTATATTAAATTTTTAACAAAATTAAATATTTTTAAAAATAATTATTTTCAGAAACAATTTTGCTAATGTTATTTTTTGTGTATATTGTATAATATTTTTTAAATTCTTTAATTTTTTCTAAACACATGTATTTTATTCCTCTCTTATTTTTACATAGAATTATAAACTGTATCAAATAATAAATAAAATTGTAGTGTTTTATTTACAATCGAAATCTGTGAAATATTTTCTCCTTTATATTTCATATAATTTAAAAGTATATATAAAAATTCTATAAATTAATAATTATTAAAAATATTTTAAGACAAGGGGTTAATCTATTTTAAATAATAGCAACAAAAATTTATTAAAAAAATAATTTCACTATAAGTTCACTGTCCGTTAAATTATATTTAAATCAAGATAATCGAAAGTCATATTATTTTTTTTTTTTGATATAAAAATAAATAAATTTATTTTAACAGAAAAAAATTATTATTCAAACATAAAAATAAATCACGTAAAACAAATAAATTCATCATCTAAATTATTAAACATTTTATATTTTAAATACATTATTAACATTTCGAATATAATAGTACATTTACCCAAAGATAAATTATCTCTGCTTGCATCATTCCATTGCATCATTACATTCGTAATAAAAATACTTTATATCACATATAAAGTACGACAATGACAACTAAAATCTACTTAACTAAAGCTAATTTAGTTCCATTAATTCTTAACTTTGTAACCGAAGTTATACCTTGTCTCCGTTTCCAATTAAGAAACAACTTAGTTGATAAATTAATTTCATTCTCTGGATATGGTTTCCAAGTATTAAAATTGAATTTTCAAATATATATTTCGAATATATATAAAGAAAAATCGATAAAAAAAAGAATAATTTATTCTAAAAATTATAAAAATTATTAAATAATCAACGCCATTTGAAATTATGTTATTTTGAATTATAAATACTGCATAATTTTAATAGAATGATAGAAATAAAATGATAGAAAAATATTATTTAACTATTTTATAAATAAAAAATTGATTCTTTCTCATATTAAGTTTAATTATAATATATTTTAGACTTTAAAATAAAATATTTTTAATAAAATATTATTGATATATACTATACTACAAGTAATTAAATGTAAATAAAATTGAACGTTTTGAATTATAACATTATTCTTTTAGCAAATCAATGATATCTATAAAAATCATTAAGTAAATGTAAATATGATGCAATGTAAATATACATTGAAATATTTAAAAAATAGGAAATATGAATACACACACACACACAAAAGCCGTTGATTAAAATATTTACAAGTCGCAATCTTTCATGTTATTATAAAACATTTGTTATTATCTTAAAATGAAAAAATAGAAACAAAAAAAAATATATAAAAAAATCTTTTAATTGTATAAAAGAAAAACACATAAATTGAAAAATACAATTAGTGAAAACGTCAATATATAAATGTCATTAAAGTTATTTTAGAAATCCAAAAGATTTAATATAATAATAATGGAAATTAAAGAATTCGAATTTCATATTTTAATCTTTTATCAAAATTTGTTCAAAATTATACAATATTAATTCAAAATTATTTCTATCTTTCTAATTCACATTATTATTTAATCACATTATTATAGATATTATTATAATAAACAAATAATGAAAATTATTACATTATTTAAAAGTAATATAAATAATTTGAATATTATTTTCATTAATAAAAACTATTAATAAATAGATTTCAAATTGGATGATAGAAATTTTATCTATGTATAGAAATATATATTTCTATAATTATTTATTATATATTTATAAATATAAAAAAAATATACAATTTTTATAAGAAAATTTTCTTTAGGAATGATTTTAATATTACTCTACTATACTATATATTTAAAAAAACATTTTTGAAAAATTAATATTAAATGACGAAACAAAAGTTAGTATACAAAAATGTTGGTCAAAACTTATTTATTAAGTTATTTGGATGAAATAAAATAAAGACAAACGCGATATAGACAAATAAAAACAAAATACAATGGCGATATAAATAACAAAGGCAAAACTTTTTCTCGCTTTCTCTAAATTGTTTATAACTTACTAAATAAATTCGATTCATATTTTTGTATATCAATGTTTATTTTGAGTATCAATCTTCCAAAGATATTGAATATTAATACAATTAACTCTGTATATTACAAGAATTAATAATTTTCATTTTTCCAATTTTAATTCCATCGATCAATTTAATGTTTTATCCTCGCTTTCACCAACTGTACAATTCTAATCCGGACAGTGGACATATTACATATATTGTACAAGGTAAAACACTGACCTGGTTATGATATTCTATTCCCATGCTCAAAGTATTGATCAAAATCGCCAATAAGATACCCTGTTGAAAATATTTGTGCTCGACCAGCTTCTTGATCAACCGTCTTATGCATCTTATAGCGCAAATACAACTGTTTCCGCAACTTCTCAGGAATCTTTTCGCACGGGAACTTTTCGTCCATTTATCACCTTCGTCTGGCCATTGATCAATGCCCTGGAGTTCACAGCAACAGGAGCAATTATCAATGTCCGAAGCTAACCATTGTGTGCGATCCTCTAGAGTAATGTGTCGATCCGTTATTCCTAAAATAAATTTCTTTTTATACATATATATATACATACATATATATAATTGAATATATCTATTTATTTGATTTCTATTATTCATGATTTTCCCATTTTTCTGATAATACTTTGTAGTAAAAAGTAATTTGAGCAATATTAATTTCGATACGATAAATTATTAATTTATTAACTTATTAATTTTTTTACATATTCTGAAAATATATTAAATATTTTCAATATTATAAAAATGAATTACGTATAATATTATAAAGCTATAAAAAATAAAATTATTTTCCAATCACTTCTATATATTATAATTTTGGAAACTTTGTATAAATGTATAACTAAGTCTATATAATTTAGTCTATATTATATATTCATAATTGAAAATTATATATTAAACATATAAAAAATTCTAAAGATTCTGTATAAATCTGATTTTTTTTTATTATATATTTTTTTTTATATCATAAAAGAAACAATAAATTTTTTTTGTTCAATTAATAATAAATGAAAATGTAGATTTATATAAATATAAGAAATAAAGAATAAAATATCAATAAAAATTCCAATATTTTACAAAAAAAAAATGTATTACATTTAAATTTAAAATGTAATTCAACATATTTATAAAGATAATTAATAATTTCAAAGAATTATAGTACATATATATATAGTACATATTAACAGAAAATAATTAATTTAAATCGAAATTTTCTATTGTCTTATAGAACATATAATGAGCTTAATTTAATTTATATATAATAAACAATATGGATGAATTGTTTGTGACATTGATTATCATAATTATTATTGTCATAATTCTAATTGTAACGTTACAATAATATTATAATTATAATAATAAAAGGAAAATGTAATATATCAGATAAAATGAAATATTTAAAAATATAAACATCAATTTATTCATATGAATAAATTATCAATAAATTATCATATTATCGTATTATACGCATAAATCTTATGAAAAACGAAATTAAATTATATATATTAATTTAAGTTTTTTTTATATATTAATATAAATAACCTTTTATAATAACTATAATTCAATATTGAATCTTAAATTCCTTTAATTAATATATTATCAAATTATTTAATTTATTTATATTTAATCTATTACAAACATGTATACATAAATAAAAATAAAATTATGTTCGAAAAAATTAAAATAACAAATTCAATTTATTGAGAATAATTTATTTCTATTATTAAATATCCATTAAAAAATCTTATTCATTTATTTTTTAAAATTCTTTTAAAATTTAAGAATTTAAAATTTTTTTAAATAAAGCAATAAATACCTTCATTCTTCAATAAAATTGAAATTATGAAAATATAAAAGTTTGAAATAATAAAAGTTGAAAGTTATTACATAAAAAGAAAAATAAATGTTATATGACTACTTTTGTACTACATCACTTATTTCCATTTCTTACTTTCGATATTATTGCTTCATATATTCTTTGCATTTTTTGAATTGAAATATAAAATTAAGTTATTTTAATAATCAAAATATATTAATATAAATACATTAACGTTGTTATTTTAATCTTTCCATGTTAATCTTTTATCTTATTTGTTAAATTTTTTTTAAAAATGTTTGTATATTAATTCAATTTAATCAATTTATTTTTATCAATTTATTCAATTAATATATATATATATTCTATATATTCATGTATTAATTTTAGATATAAATCTTTATACGATTATATAAATCAAAATATAAAAATATTTTATGTATAAATATTTTTTTTAATCGTGCTTTATCTAATATAAATCATTTTTTTTTCAATAACGAATAATTATAGAAAACGATTTACAATATTGACAATATTAAAAATGATGATATTAATAATAATATATTTATTATAATATTAGTAACAGAATTTAGCATATTTGAGAATACAATATGTAATATAAATATTGTATAAAATATATTTAATATATATTAATATTTGGAAGTATATTTATAAATATTTTTATAATTATATCGAAAAATTTCATTTCACTCGTAATTTCATTCAATTAAAAATATCCTCACTTGTGCTATTTTCCTTCCAAGCCTCTTAAATTAAAACTGGCAAAAAATATAAACTATAATTACTCGATCTTTTAAATTTTTTCTAAAAAAAAGAATTAAAAAAAATAAACAAAGAGAACTTACCTTTGGTAAGCGAATTAAGAAAAGAATCCAGTGCCAGTTGTCCGGTCGGTAATGCAGCACTTAAAGCACCGCTTAATGCAAGTAATTCTTGACAAGTCATAGCTTCGTTTCCACCCAATTCAGCTTGCATCTGCGGTGACACGTGCACATGATAAATTACGCGTCAGTGAAAGCGGGTCGGTAGGATCCGACATTTCTGTAGAGCCGCAGTAGAAAATACCTGTATATGGTCTGGCAGTGGACTCGACCAAACATTCCCGTCACCGGTCTGCGTCATTTTTTCGCTCGAACACACGTTCCTTTCGCCGGGCGAAACCGCCGTGCCAGCCTGCAACGCGTTACCGACACTGTTGCTGCCGTGCAGCAACACCACGTCGCTGAACATCACGCTGCTTCTTCTGCGATAGTGTGTGCAAGGCGGACTTAGCAGCGCGTTGTTCGTCTGAGGCCGGAGTTTTTTCAATTTTAAGGGAGAATTAAATTTAACGAAGAATAATGAATTTCGATAAATTTTTAATATTTTATAATTACAATTTGAAAATTTATATATCTTTTTAGAATATTTAAAATTCATATATAAGGAATATTTAATTCAAGATATTAAATAACGAATCAAGAGATTATCAATAGGTTTTGATAAATTTTTAACTTAACTCCTCCCTATTTGACCATTTCAATTTTCGTATCGATCGGTTATCCAGATTTTTCAAAATTTCATTCTTATTTTTTATTTTTATTTAAAGTAAAATCCAAACATATGCACAAAACATACCTGAATGCTCGCTTCAGTCGCGTTCGAAAGAACATTATCGCTTCCGTTGCAAGAAACGGATGAAGTTCGATGAAGCCCCATACGATTGCACACGTTCAAAGAAACATCCGCCTCAGATACTTCGGGGCTGGCACGAGGCGCAATCGCCAAATTCCCATTGCTACCACCATTATTTCCAATCGCGGTTGTAAGGATCGCAGTCTGTGTCGGAGGACTGTTTGCTGGGAAATCAGTAAGCGATCCCCCACCACTGCCAATGCCTTGCTGCTGTTGCTGCTGCTGTTCCGCGTATTCCAAAGCCGCCAACAGTCTGGGACATCTACCATGATGGAGTCTTCTATCTGGTTGGGATAATAACATGAACGATAACGATATTGAAATGGGTCGCATGAAATTCAACGATATCAATTATGTTCAATTGAGAGTCAGGAATCAAATATATCGTGTTTCACGAGGAAAAAATTGTCCTCTGGAAATATTAATTGCGGAAGTCGATAAATGTGGAGAAACATTTACGAATATTTCATATTAAGTCATTTCATAGATTTTTATAATCTCTGATAGAAATCACACTTTATAAATTTTATAAATTATTCGATGCTTACTATCGATCGATTTCAATTTTTTATGTAAATTTTTCATGTAAATTTTAGTATATAAATAACATTAATTTACAAAATTTGTTTAACTTTTCGTTATAAGCTCAGAAGAATTTGAATATTTTAAGAGAAATGTAGTGAAAAGTTTTCAAGAATAAATTCATATATATTTTATACAATATTTATTAAAATTATATGATATTAGAATTCAAAATTAATATTTTATCATAAGAATACTTAATGAAAAAGAAATATAGATTTATGGCTTTTATGACTCTTACTCATAATTTTATTATTAATATAATATTAATAACTCTTATTCATTTAATAAAATTCTATATAATCATTAATTATTAATAAACATACTAACTTGCAATCGACATTCATGCAAACTGAGTTACATTTGATAATCTATAATTAAATACGCTAATATTAATAATGAATAACAAAATAAAATAATTAATATCAATATATAATTATAAATATATATGTATAGTTACTATTGCTACATTATTATATTATCATTAGTAAAAAATGTGAAAATTAATTCGATAATTAAGAAATGAACTTTTTAATATAATCTTAGTTATAATCTTATAACTTGATAATTAGTTCTTGTCCATTTCAATATATTCTTAATTTTATTAATTATAATTTTCAATTATCTTTTAAATATAGTAATGATGTTAGATTAATATTTATGTAAATTAATTTATACAAATTTTTATTTTCTTATTTCTATTCAATCATATTTATTCTTTATATTACTTGATATTATCTTTATTTTTTATTTCTTTTTTCTGAAAATAAATGTTGAATAATGTATGAAATAAAATTTTCTCTAATTCTTACGTATTGATTATATGTCTACATTTATCTTTTCTTTTCCTTTTTATCAAACAATCCTGTATAATTCCAAAGTTTAAAAATTGAGAAAATATTAAAAGTTATAATTCCAAATTTGTATGTAAAAAGTATGTAAAATTAGTAAATAAACACAATAAATATAAAATCCACTGAAGCAATAAAATAAAAACAAAAAAATTTAATAAAAATAAATAAATAATACATAAATTAATCATATTTTTAAAATATCTAATTTTTAAATCGGAGTGTAATCCAAAATCTACGCAAATTCTTCACATTTGACAAAATAAATATTATTTCTTGATCTTGCAACCAATCGCATTGTTCTAAGAACGTTCTATCATTAGAGATTTCCTATTATTCCTAAAATAATAGCGTCAGTTCAAGTGATATTCTAAAGTGATCGTGAGAAAAGCACCAGTGATTCCAGGAATCCTTGAATGTGTTCATCCCTATAAAAATGTTCTGAAGTTTGAAATGAATCGTAGACAGTTTGAATGTCTCTTATAAGCATTTTTATTTAAGATCATTCCTTGATATTCCAATTTATCAAAATATCGATTATTCCATATATAAATAGAAATAAAAGTATTAATGTACAAATTAAAAAATTATAGAAATGAAATCAATATGATTGATTTTATGATTTAAAATGATTCACAAAAACGAACATTATAAATAAAATTTTAATAATAAAAATACACATATTAAAATTAAATTAAATTCTAAATAATTATTTTATAAATAGGAATATTAACAAAATTATAATTACGAATTTTAACAAAATTGATTTTTTTTTAAGTAAAATGAAAAAGGAGATAATATAGATGAGAATATCAAAACTAAAAGTTTTGATTTTGGAAAAATATATATAATACACTCATTCTTTTCATTGTTTGAATAATTTAATGTTAAATTTATTATATTTTCAGATTTTATATTTTATATTTTAATATATTGCAATAAGTTTTTTATATTATTTACTTATGGCTGATCGAAATGAAAAAACAACTAACGTTACTACTAACATATTAATCGTGGAACTAATAAAGTAACTAACTCACTGTAAGTTGGTACTGAAGAAATAGCTTTTTAATGAAATATTTAATTTTCTAATAAAATAAAAATTTTATTAACAATTTTTATAACAATTTTATTAATAATATTTATTTTTTAAATTTTAAATTAACAAAAACATATTATTAAAAACATATTATTTTTAAAAAAATTGTTGAAACAAATGTTACAATTATAATGAATATCAAATATAAAAACAATAATCTATTGATTAGTTTTACATTTTATAAAATAATTTCATAATTTCATAATAATCTAATAAAAATAATTTATAATTTATAATATGATATCTAATAATCTAATAATTGCCTAAATCATTTTCTATTAATTATGTAAATCATTAATAAAATAAAATAAAAAGTATAAAGATATAAAATGTAAAAAAATAAAATGAAATAAGAAGACAAAATTTAAAATTTCTGGATTGTTAAAATGACAGGAACGATTTATACATTTGCAATAAGATGGTTAATTATCTTATAATAAGCATAATAATTGTAATTGTTTAATTTAATGAGAATATTTATAGTCAATTATATTATTTAATTCAAAATATTTTTTATCGTAATGATTTTTTCAAACTGTTTCTTTAATCATTTTTCATTTAATTAATTAATTTTATTCTGTAATTAATTGATTAATTATTAAACAGTTTATTATTTTTTTTCTTATAATTTTTATTCATAATATTTGTAAAAATCGAAGATGAGAAAATTGAAATTTTTTATTTTTGTATAATATGCATTAGAGTAATATTTTAATCAATAATATTTTAAAATTTAAACAAAAATTTAATTCGAATCATTAAAAAAATTTTTTATCTCAATTAATTTTAAATATAGATTATTATTAAATAAATAAAATCTTCGATATCATTGAAATCAAATATGTATAGCAATTAGTAAATAAAAATTTACAATTTTTGAAACATTCCCCATTCTCTTTCTCTCTGTTTCTTTTCTTTCCTTCATAACTTAAAATTTAAATGAAAATTTAGTTTAAATCTAACCATTCCAAAATATAGCAAAAAATTCATTCTAGCAAAATTCGATTATATTTATTGAAATAATTATTCCTTAATTAATATGAACTAATATGAATAAGCATTATTCGAAGGAAAAAAAAAGAAACGAATACAAATTCTAACAAAATATAACAAATTCAATTTAATAATATCATAAGTAAGTTACGTTTAAAATAAATATGTACAATTATTACCAATCAAAATCAATTACATTTACGTTTCTTTCAAAGAATAATTTCAATTCTTTCAAAGATCATTTACTACATTTATTTTTAAAATGGAGTACAAATAGAAACAATTGATAGAAAAATGTTGCTATTGAAATGAACTCGATTAAATAAAACATATGGATGAAAATCGAACGCTGTAGAAGATTAATCCTACAGATTGATACGATACACTTACCTCCAGGTAATCTATTCGGATCAGGGCCGGGTGCACCTCCTCGAAATGGGTGTCCGTGTTGTTGCTGTTCCTTGAGTAAATTCTGCTCACGTTTCTGTTGCCTTTTGTATAAATACACTCGGTACCTCTTCATTAACCTTCTCTTCCCCCTTCGCCACAGGTGTGCGATATATCTGAGAACATGCAGTATGAATGTAGCAGCATGAATGGAACAGGCAAAGGACAATTTCAAGTGGGTGACTCTTCGTTCTTGAAGTGGATGAGAACCAATGAAGCAGCGTTTAAGTTCATTTATTATGTACTTTGGTGCAGTGCTGAATATATTTCGAGCAAAAAATATCGAAAATAATTGTTGAAGCAACTTCGTTGAAATGAAATAATATTTGAAGATTTGTTTCAAGTTTGGGAAAAAAAATTAAATTAAATAATTAATTAAAATAATTTGTTTAGATATATTAAAGATAATTATTTAATATAGCATTTTATGTGTATAAACTTACATTAATTATTGTTAATATTATTTTTTGCGATTATTATTTAACAAAAAAAAAATAGAAAAGTAATATGAAAACAAAAACATATTTATTCAAAAAAATGTGAAATATAAATGTCTTCATGAAAATTCAATATTAATTACTTAATGGAATTTTATAAAAATACTTCATTGTATATATAGTGAAAAAAATATTCTTTTTTTCATTATTTTAAATCTTTATAAAAAAATTATTGGTATATTCTATACGCAAAAATAAGGAAAAAATGCTAACATAAAATACTTTAAATTAAAATTGCAATATAAATTAGACAATGCAGATGCAAAAATGGTTAACAACATCTTAATAAATATGATTCTTTGTCTCCAAAATCATCATCATCTCCAACAACCTTGAATTTTTATTTACCTAAGGAATTTTAAATAAGAAAGTTTTTTTTATTTCAAATAATATTTTAATTAATATAGAAATAAATTATTATTTCAATCATAAATCTAATACAATTAAAAATATATATTTATATAAATATTCTGCATTAAATATTTTATATTCTTATTTTGATTTTTCTTATATGTATTGTTATATGTTATTATGATTCAATAATACTTATCGTCTAATAATGAATTTTTAAAGAAATTTTTTCGTTTCTTCATTTTGGAAAAATTTAACGGTTATTTTAATCTTTTTATTCGATAAAATGTAATAAAATAAAAGTAAAAAATGAAATATATAATAATGGATTAACTAATTTATATTTCCAAGATCCTTCATTCTTAAAGTGGATCACTTAACTTTATTTAATTAATTTGTACACGCTTTAATAATGTTAGAAATTTTTAATCATTTCTTTTGAATAAATGAAATAAAATCGTTAGATGTAATATTTTTATTTTTATTCTTAAATTTTTATTTGATAGAAAATTAAAATAATAGGAATTAAGAAATGAATAGTACAACAATTAATGGACTGTTTCAAATGCGAACCTTTTATTCTTTAAGTGAAAGACCAATGAAGCAGTGTTCAATATCATTTAATATATTTTTTAATAGCATTATCAGAGATTTTAATCATTTCTTTTATAGGAATTTAATGGAATGGAATGTAATAGTTCTATTCGATATAAAACAGAAGAATAACATAATATAAAAAAAGAATAGTGAAAGAATGAAATTATTTAAATTAGAAGCATTATGATTAAAAAATCAATAGAATATTATTTATCTTTATTGAAAGAATATATATTTTGATAAAATTAGAAAAATTTTTAATATTTAAAAAAAAATTATAGAATTGTTTTAGTATTTTTATTTTATAAAGCATAAAAAAATAATATATAAATTGCATTATTTTTATTTAAAAGAATAATGAAATAAAAACATAGTAGAGAAAAAGAAAGAGAAAAAAAATAGAAAAAAATAGTAATATTATTACATTATTTTTATTTAGATACATCAATTTTTTTTGGAAAATTTTGTATACATGAATGAAGAATAAATAAAATGAATAATAAATTTATATTCAACTTTATACTATAATTTAATCCTTATTATTTCCACAAAAATTTATATTAATTATGTAATAATTTTATAAGCAATTCATTCATCAAGATTCACTAATTTATTATATTAAAATATAAATAAAATGGAACAAAATTAAAATACTTTTCTTTCGAATAAAATTCAATATAAAAATATTATTTTAGAGACATGATTGGATTTTATAGACTCGAACACAACAGAGGGATTAAAATGAAAAATTTTATGTAAGTCAAGATAATAAGAATAAAATTTATTATTTAATACGAATATTTATAATAATTCTTTTATAATAACAATAAAATTAGTATCAAGTTTAATATCAATTATGATAATAATTTATAATATAATTTATAATATAAATGATATGACTTATTTCTGAAAAATAAGTTGAAAACTAATACTACTTTACTTTAATGTGAAATTATATATGCAAAGAGTGAGCAACATAAGGCATGACTCAAAAACTATTAGAAAAAGCGAGACAAATTTCGCTTGATATTTTAAAATTTTTTATTACTTTTTTTTGTGACATCTATGTTACGGCAACCAGGGAAATAAAAATAACATGTATATCTTTTTTATTTTTTCAAATACAGCAGTATATTTTCTATATCTTTGAAGTTTCTCTAAACCAATTTTTTTATGTATTATATTTATTTAAAAATAACAAAATATAACTTAGAAGAATTAAGAGAATTAAGAGAATTAAGAAAAAGAAAAATTTACAATAAAAATAATGATTTTTAATATTCTTAGTATTTATATATAAATAAATAATTAATAATAAAATAAGAATTTATTATAAGAAAAAAAAGAAAATATTTATCATTTCAAATTTAAATATCATTTTTTCATATGTAATAAACAATTTTTTTTTTCATACTTTATGCAAACTTTATGCATACTTATCATTTTTAAATGAAAGGAATTTTATTTTTACATTAATTGTAAAAAGAATATAAAAATTGATATTAATATAGTTATGTATAGTTATTATTAGATTAGATTAATATAGTTATGTATAGTTAAATGTAAACATTAAGAAGCATTACATTGGGATTTAAGCGAAAAAAACATACTTAAAAATCTTTCAAATTTCATGCAAAGGTGTATTGATTATATTCTTTGAATTCGGTAGCTAACAATAGAGTAAAATCTTTTTGATAATACAGACAAATCAATATTATATAATAAATAAAATTACTTTTATTTTTTTACTTTTATAACAATTGTACAAATATAAATATAAGAATTAAAAATGAAAGAATGTATGAATATAAGGAGGTAACAAAATAATTTAATATTAAAAAAAAAATTTTTTTATCTAATAATTTTTAATAGATATATTTTTATTTATTTATTTTATTTTAATATGTTTTATTAATTATTAATTGTACCAACTTTAAATTTTCTAGAATATTTGTTTCCAATATTAACAAATAATTATTCAAATTTAATAACATTTTCAGAACAATGTATTGCATTGTAATTATAATTCATAAAATTATTTGCAAAATATTCGCGTTTATCATATATATAAGAATGATAATATGTCAATTATTATTCTCGATTTAATAAATATTATATATAATTTTAAACATTTTAATAAAATAAAATATTATTATTAATAATAAATAAATTTAACCGTGCCACAATAAGAAAACAGATACGTATTGATCAATATGTTGAAAAACATCTATTTTGCACAGAGAATTCATATTCAAGTATTTTTGAAAAGATCGAATTAATTTTTCAGTTTATATATTCAGATATAACATAAATCTTTTTTTCAAAGATCTTTCAGTTTTGTGTAATATACATTTTAAGTACTATTATATTTATCAGAAAAAAACGTTTGCTATACAAGGCTTTTCTATCATTGAAACTAGAATATTGATAAAAATCGAAAATAAAAAAAAAATGAATTTTTTGTATTTTATACATCGCTTGAAAAACATAAAACTAAACGAAGAAAAATCAATATCTTGTTAAAACTACACGATTTACGAGAAAACAACCAACTTTAGTTTTCTTTTCTAATATTATTTCCTCGTTTATTTAATTAACAGTATGTCTATATTTTACTAAAATAAACTGAAGTTTTAATTGAAAACGTTAAAACATCTGATAGAAATATATATGTATATAAAGTTAATATTTAAATATAAAATTCAATATTTTTTTATCAGATTAATCGAATATACATATTAATATCCTCAAATATTGATATTATTTTTCATTAAATCAATACATAAAATTACTTAAATTAACAAAAAAATTAAAAACAAAATTATATTACATTGATAAAATATTCACTTAAATAAGAATTCATCAACTAGTAAACATAAGATAAAAATTCAAATTTTAATGATTATTAAATTTTCATGTTTAAAATTATTTCTAAATAAATACGCTGTCTCGATTTCATTTTTCTATTTATTATAATAATCTTTAAATTAATTTTTTTTAATCATAAATTAAATATTTTATACATTTTTTCTATTTTTCCAAATTATTTTTTTTTTAATCTATTTTTTTTTTAAGTATTATAAAATTCTTTAAAGAGATAACATTAGATAACATTCTACTACTTTGATAATTTTTTTTAAATAAATGTATAACTGTTGAATAAATATTTAATAACTTGAAAAAAAACAAAATTACTTTTAATTCATTATATTTCTAATTATATTTTTTAATATAAATGATTGTATTTATTTCTTTTTCATTCCAATCAATAAATCCATTTTAATCCAAAGTAAATTATTTTTATTAAATAAGTATGATTAATCACAAGTTTTCAATTTCAAATAAAAATAAATTTTTTTTGTCAAAAATAATAAATTATTTTCATAAATTAATTCAAAATGTATGGAATGATATTTCTATGTTAGTTTCTATATTAATATATATTCTAAAATAGAAAATTTTCACCAATGAGTCAAGGAAATTTAGTAGAAGATCCAAATTTAGTAGAAGAAATGTGTTTTAATATTTTCTTCAGATAATAAATAAAAATAATGAACTGAAAATTTAAAGCATAAAAAATTTAAATATAATAAAAATAAAATAAAATTAATAAAATTAATTAAATATTAAATTTAGAATTCATATTATTATTATTATTATCCCTATCCACATTGTATTAAATCTTATCTAAAACGTATCAATTCCTTTGCTTTAAATTTCCTTTTTTTTAAAATTGTACTAAATAGAAAGAAATTTAATATATTTTCCAGTAAAAAGTTGTTTAAGTACTCACTTAACAATTTCTGCGTAACATGTAGTTGGCTCTGAAGTATTTGTCGATGATGCAAGAGTTGATGTAGAATGAAAACGTGCACGTTCCAGTCGCATTCTCTCCATTTCCCTCTTTTTCGTTTCTGAGAATTGCGTTGCTATTACGACTAAGCAGAGATTAATCATGAAGAAGGAACCAATCTGTAACCGAAAATTTTTTCAATTTCAACGATTTTTTTTTCTCTTTACAAAAAAAAATGTATCTCTTCTCGTAATAACATCGATAATATCTAAATTCATTGAAAAATTTATTTTCAAACGATAACTAATATAATCATTAGTGTTCGTATTTCTTCATTATTTATTTATCTTTGTTTATTCATGAAATTCTTTTATTAAAATCTTTACTTTGGTATTTTTTCTTTTTTGTTTAATTTTAATTTAATAAAATGAAATTTAAAAGAAATGAAATAGTTAACGTACCACAATTAAAAGGACAAAATATATCCAATCCCAAAAAGAATGAGCATCTTGCACATAATACATTATATCCGTCCATCCCTCAAGACTGATTACCTATAATAACACCATTAGTTTTATCACTTCTTTTCCAAATATTTAATAAAAAAAACTAAAATAAGATTGATGTATAGATAAGTTATTAAAATAATTTATTTTTCTATATTTATTAAAATAATTATATATTTGAAAAATATAAGAATATTCATTCAATTATATTAATACCGGATCATTTTATACCGGAGGCATTGTAAAAACACAAAAGTAATAAAAGAAATTCATATAAATACGAGTAAATGCGCTTGAAAGAATCTTATTTTCGTTTTAATTTATTTTGTAACAATACATTTTGTGTATAAGTAAATAGATATAGAATATAGTTAAATATTTAATTTACTTTTTACAACATTTCATTTTACAAAGAAGTATTCCATGAGATGAAAGGAATTTCTAATAAAGACTATCAGCATTTTCTTGAATAATAGAATTTGAAATTATTATTTGTGAAATTTTATAAATAACAAATTACATGATATTTTGACAAAATTTTCATTTAAAAAATAAAATTTTACAAATAAATTTTTCCAATTATCAATTTATGCTATTATTCTATTTAAAATAAAATTATGAAAAAAAATTTAAATTTATTATTTATTATGTATGAATTCAATAATAGCATATTAATTATATTATCGTATAAAAGATATTGTATTTTAAATGAAAAAATAATTAGAATACAGATTATATTCGATTAAACAACATATATTTATCATGATTATGCTTATTGTATAAAATATATAAATTCTTTAAATAAATTAAAATAATTCATATAAGACATATACATCTATATTGAAATTGAATATAGTCATTTCATATAATTTTTCTGAAGATAAGTAAATAACTTTTGAAAATAAGTTATAATTCGAAAATAAGATCATTTCAAGCAGGTATTTATTTGAACATTCTTTATTATACCTATATACTTATGTTTTGAATCAACATGTTGCATTTTCCCATAAATTTTCTATATCTGCATTCTATATATGTATTTAATTATATGTATTATGTATGTAATTATATATATGTATTTAATTAATGT